GAGGAGGAGGAGGAGGAGGAGGAGGAGGAGGATCAGTATTATATAAAGGCATCTTTACCTCCTTCGGTGCCAGATGTCGTGAGTACGTCGCAGCGCAGACCTCTCCTCCTCCCTCTGTAGCTCCTGTTCCTCGGGAAAAGAGTCTGCGGGGACGACTCTGTTGAAACGAAATAAAGTTTCTGATCTGACGCTGCTGGGACCGGGCGACGGGAGGCGATTTAACACAGACTGCGACCTCCACTCTTCCTCCGCCATCAGGGCCTGTCGCTCAAGAGCTCCGGGACAGAGTTTGCCAGAGAGCTGTTTGGGGGGAGTCTCAAGTTCTGCGTAGCGGAGGAGAAATGCGACAGATCTAGAACACACAACGGTAAACTTGTCGTTACTTTTGTTTGTTTGTTTGTGATCCTAGCTATAATACGAATCTTTTTAAAACAAATGTCTGTCTTGTTTAAAAAAAAAAAAAGTCTTGTTCATTAAGCCTACCCGGTTGGCGTTGTTGAGAAGAGTGTTGCTGCTGTTGCTTTAGAAGTTGGTTTTATGATGCTATTTACAGTTAGTGATTGCTTCACAAAAGTTTTGAACTACATCGACTGCTAGCATTCAATAAGTATCTGGACAATTTACTGTTTGGGGTTAAAACTGTTTTAGAAATTATCATACATCTAGTGTACAACATGGTGGAAGTTATTCTTTTTTTTCACAGGCAATGTCGGGGAAAATAGATTATGAGATGCAGCTACATTCACCCAAAAGCATCAGATGTTCAAATCTTTTAGATCTATGTTGGAAGCAGGAATCTATGTGTATAAAAGTGGACTTCGAAGGCTTTGTGCTCAAACTCATCCTTTATTACCTAACCTACACCTTTGAAACTTTGCAAGCGTCCACAGCATCCATGTGGCTTAGGACCTAACTTTAAAAATTCCACGCAAACTGCTTTCCCCGATTTTTTCAAAGTGTTTTGTTTCGTCCACTCACAGTTCTAATCTTAGGAAAGTCCGTCCTCTAAGACGCCATTGTAAACTACTGTGGTTTCCGTTCACTAGCCGTGCGCTCTGTTTTCCCCACACATTTGAAATTCTGGAGTGCACAACCACGAAAGCGGAATAGAAAATCAATCTAGACATTTATTATATATTTGGCAACTTGGAAACACGTGTGTCACTTTTCTCTCAAGATTTACATTACTCCATTCAAGCAGAGCGTAAAATATAGTAGGCCACTGACTTTCAGTTGATTTTAAGGCACCGATCATTCATGTCACCGAAAGGGGGCGAGCTAGTATACAAGGAAGCGGTGCTTTGTTATAAATAATCTGCCAGACGAACGTATCCAGTTATTTGTAAATCGTTTTTTTTCCCAGGGTTCGGTTTTGTGTGTGTGTGGGGGGAGGGGGGCGAAGGAAAGGAACAATCAAAATGACAAGGAGAGTGATGGCGTCGGTGGTGTAGTGATTAGGGTCTTAGACTAGCAATCGTAAGATTTGGGGTTCCAATCCCTTAAGGGGCCCGTCAGTATGTCCTTGGGAAAGGTACTTGTTACAAATTTCCTTCACTTCACCCAAGTGGGAATGGGTGCCCGGCTAAAGACAGTGAAAGATCTTGTCAGCATGTTAGTTTTTGACGTCATGTAATCCGCAACTTGCACAGTGTACTTCCCAAAAGCCGAGAATGCTTCTGAGTATTGTAATGCCCATAGAGCATGCTGCTGAGAGTGGATATGCGCTCCATTACTGCTATTATCATTATAATAATTATTATTATCATCATCATCATCATCATCATCATCATCATCATCATCATCATCATCATCAT